TGGTCAGCATTCGCTGACAGTTTTCTGCACATCAAGACATGGTTTGGATTTTACATTAAATTATTCGAAGAGAATTCATCATCAAGCTAAATATTTTTCTAATGGAAGCTGTCATTTCCTGAGGCAAAAGCTGCATGATGTTTTCAGGGCAGTGAAACATGTGTACATCATCCCTGAGAGTGAGGTGACTTCCTCAAACTAGTCTGCAGCTTCCGGCAATCAATGATTTGACATAAGGCAAATCATTGATTCCCTTGTTTACCTTTAGAGAGAAGATCTCCCTGTGGTGAGATAGATAAATGTTGTGGTCTATATCGTATAAATGCAGATATGCTTGGACATTTCCTGGAAATATTTGAGGGCGAGCCTTGTAAATGAATAGCTCAAATATTTCATTGGGTGCTCTTCTATTTTGTAAACATCCTAACTTTGGTGTGTGTGTGTATATAATTTGTGATCTCCCGGTACCAGACATTTTTAGGAGTAGTTGTACTCCTGAAAATGCTCCAGTACTAAAGACCGATACTGGCCCTTTAAATTTTCAGGAAGTTTGGCTGCCTGAGGCCCTGAGCGTGCTGTGGTCCTCAGGCAGCTGTCTTTTTTATAGTGCCTGTCTGGCTGCACATTTCCTCCTTCCCAGCATAGGACAGCCCCATACCCACCAGGACAGGCCTGGAGCCTGGCACCAGCCCAGATCCCACCCGATCAGCTATAAAAAGACCAGCAACCGCATACAGGGCCCTGGAGAGGCTGACACCATGCGCACATATACAACTACAGATCCCATCAATCCATGATTATACAGCAATTATATAGTGGTGTGTGCCGGTCTCACCCAAAGGCAGCCCTGGTACGATCTGCACACCCCTGTATAATTGCTGTAGAATCATGGATTGATGGGATCTGTAGTTCTATATAGCCGGTTGCCATTCGCTGTATAATCAATGATTATACAGCAGTGGAGAATGGCAATTGGCTGTAGAAGACTACAAATCTCAGCAAACAATGATTATACAGCAATGGAGAATGGCAACCAGTGATCATGGATTGAGTTAAGTTCTTCATAATTAAAATAAACTGCCCAAAAATTGTTAGTCTGTGTTTTAGAAAAAATGTCACGTGTCCCTTTAAAAAAAAGTATTGGCAATTGGTATCGGCAAGTACCTGAGGGGAAATACTTGGTCTTGAACAACTGGTATGGGGACATCCCTAATACATATGTATATGTGTATATTATATTACCAGCATGAGAGGCACACGCATGACTTTACAAGAGTATTAGAAGTTAAAAGATCAATGTATTGCATGTCTGTGTTTCAGTGTTCTTCTTTTCTCAAGGTCTTGCTCTGTTATCTTCTGAGACTTGTTCAAAGTCATGCGTTTGCCTCTGGTACGTATTTTTCTGCAGAGTTCTCTGTACCATTTGTGTGTGCAGGGACCACTGCTATTGTCTTTACAGTATGTCTGTGTAAGTGTATTGGCGAACCATACATGTACAATCTCCTATAGATTGACCAACATGTATGTAGTCCAAGGGCCTGCCTGGTTTAAATACAAATTTAGTGGATAGTTTGTTTGTCCCCGTATTACATGGTTTGGGTACATAAAATTGATTGTGCCAAGTTTGTATGGTCAGATTGTAATGTGTATGATGTGCCTTTGGGTTAGGTACATTAACAGGTCTATGCAGCCCGCCTCCCTGCAAATCAGGTAAGCAGGAGAGGGGGCAATGTTTTATTTATTTTTTATTAGTAGTTCTGTGTGTGTGTAATGTGTGTGTTTTAATAAGTGCGAGATGTGTGTGTTTCATTACGTTTGTATGTGTTTCATTAAGTGTATAAATGTTTGAATATGCGTGTTTCTCTATTTTGCCTAAGGCCCCATTCACACTGCGTAAAATCCCGCTATTTCACGCATTTTTGCCACGTGATATCGCGAGAAGTCGCTGGCCAATGTTATTCAATGGAGCTGTTCTAATGTACAGCTCCATGTTGCCCGTCGCCCATCGCTGTTGCTTCAGCAGGGCCCTTTTTCCCCGCGGATATCGCACAATTTTTCTACTTTTTAATTCAGCCCGAAGGTGAAGGTCGCTGGAACGTCACCTTGAACAGTCACGCTATCCCGGCCCCGCTTGTAAGGTATGTCGCTTGGTGTGAATGGGGTCTAAGGCAGTGATGTTGAACGTTTCTTAAACCCGCGCGTCCAAACTGCAATACAGTACTAAACTTATTTTCAGCGCTGGCACTTTGAGGTAAATAAATTGATTTTGCGTCTCA